AAAGCAAAACATCCATCGGGCGAGGGTTGGGGATTTTAGATTTCCTGTTTTAGAGTATGTGATATAATTTATTTTTTGGGTTTTGGGATATTTTGTATGGGATTTGCCTATATTTTCAGGGTATTCATATATTTTCGGATATTTTTATGAATATGACTACTTGATATTTGATATTTTTGGGTTTTAGGGGGTTTAGGATGTAGGAAGGAAAGCATTCTGGGATTACAACTGGCAGAAACTCCACCAAATTCATATCCATTGGCACGCTCGGCTTTCTTTCGTTCCTTCTCCTTCCGATCCGCTTCTTTCTTCTCAGAAAGCTCTTGCGCTTTCTTTAACTCTTGCTTCTCTGAGTTGTAGTCCTTCTTTGCGCTCCGGAATGTCGCAACAATCTTCTGCAGGCTCCTGAGGTGCAGGTTGTGCTTGTCAAAGAAAAGCCGACAATCTTCCTCAGTCTTCACACGGTCGGACCATGCTTCCCGCTCATCCTTGAGCGTCTTCAGGGAAACAAGCTCAAACTCACCTCTGCCCATTCCTTTGAGGTGCGGGTCCATCCTGGCCAGGTCCGTAAGCTGATCGTCGAGGGTGCCTTGCTCAGGGTCAGTGGAACTGCCTGGCGCAGGCGCGGGTTCAACGGCCTTTCGAGACTCCTCGTTCAACCCAAAAGCCATCTGCAGCACAAACAGCCGCAGCTTCAGGGTGGCCCCGGCGTGCCCGACCAGGACCTCTGGGTCCAGTTCCAGGTCCCGCCGCACCAGAGACGGCACAGCGAGACGCCCGTCTTCAACAAGGTCCCGTAGAACCTCGTTGGCTTCTTTGCCCAGATCTTCGCGAGAAGCTAGTACGCCGGCATAGCGATCTTGACTCTGGATCTTTTGCTTTGCAATTGCAACCTCAGCAAAAAAAAACTAACGAGACACATCGAGACACGAGGCCACGGGGCTTACGGATCCAAAGCTACTGAGGAGAGAGCTGATACGTTCTTGATCTTGGGCAGCTTCTTTGCGGTATTCTTGGATTGTCCGGGCGCAAGGCTTCCACCCATTTTGCTGACAGATGGCTTTCCACCTGAAACTGTCGGCTGCCTGGCCGAACTTGAGGAGGGACCTGCAGCAAAGTCTTCGTCTTCCTCAAACCGGAGCACGGAAGAGCTTCTGAAGGCTGCATTCATGTCGTCCAGCTGCACAGACGTAGGCCGATCTCGTCTGTGTCCCTGCTGTCGGACAGATTTGGAGGTCTCGAAGTCTTTGTCATCCACGTACGAATCGGTGATTACCCCCAGCCGGGTAATCAAGGTACCCCGAGGAAGCCCGTCCGCATCGGGCGCCCTGATTTGATCCTGCGGCACAAGGCCGTTGTTCTTTTCATGGTGCCAGCGTTTCGTTGCCTTGGTTGCTGTTCGCAACTCAGCAGCTCAAGCAGGAACCGGAACAAGACCCAAAACCAAGCTAACTTCCAAACAAAGAAGCAGATGCAGCAAGCACTGTACTGTCAGCTATCAATGGTTTTTTTGCTTACCAGGTTGCCTGCTCTGAGGTGAGGCGAAGCGGGTAGTCCAAGTTGCAGTAATGCTTGAGATACTGTCCAAATGTCTTCATAGACTGGCACGGCGATGACACGTTGGACGAGGCATTGCTGATTGCACAATGCGGCAATAGCTCAGTTACGGGAAGTAAGGACTAAGGCCACAGCGTGCCAGTTTCCGGTAGCCTTCATTTTGCCTTTCTCTTTCTGCTCGAAATACGCCGCGAAATCATACCTTTTCCGCGCTTTGCCTCGCCCTTGTGAGGCACACCTCAGCTGACGCAACCTAACACTGTTTGAGCTGCAGAAAAACGATCGGTAATTCCTGCGGTGGCCCTCTTTGCTGACAAGGGGCTGGGTCCTGAACTCCAACACCATGTTCGCAAAGACAGTCGGCTCTTCTCGCTTGAGCCTCTTTACTTCCTCCAATCTGCCGTCTTCGCGAGCTTGGGCAAACAACGCTCGCAATGAAGAGCGGTCCTGTAAACATTACACAGTGCACACCAAACTGCGGACTGTTCGAAACATTGGAACAAGAAAAAGCATTGAACGCGATCCAAGCCCTAAACCCTAAACCCTAAACCCTAAACCCTAAACCCTAAACCCTAAACCCTAAACCCTAAACCCTAAACCCTAGACCCTAACCCTAAACCCTAAACCCTAAACCCTAAACGCTAAACCCTAAACCCTAAACCCTAAACCCTAAACCCTAAACCCTAAACCCTAAGCCCTAAACCCTAAACCCTAAACCCTAAACCCTAAACCCTAAACCCTAACAAACAACTACATTGGCCTGGCCTCGCCACAGATACCAGGAAGGTGGTCAGTGATTGCGGCGGCAATCTCTGACTGGGTCAGCATCTTCTTGCAAATTTCACATTTGCTGGAATCCTTCAGGGCCGCAGGCACCTCCATGGGTTCGTCAAGACCGAGTGCTTTGGTCACACTCTCGTCATCAAATCGCGGAGGGCTTTTCCTCTCACGATCGGCCATTGCAAGGTCGATGGCTCGGCCGCCGTGGCAAAATGCCAGCGGGCCGACGGTCTGTGAAACACAAGTTACTCGTCACGAGTTACCTTTCGCTAGTGGGAACAACCCAGCACCAATGCAGGCTCAAGCTAGACGATGATCGCGTTGCACGCGCAATGCCCAGTACACGTGCATCCAAGTTTGTTCCCAAAACCTGCCAACGGCCAAGGCGGCGCACGCAGTCATAGCATTGAACACAAACATGTGCTAGGATTGGTTGCCAAGACAAAGCGCAGCTGGCAGCACAGGCAACACATCCGCAACAGCCATGCTCCAAGAAAAGTCTATAAACCAACACCGAGGCGTCTTCTAATTTTGCATTCGCTGCCGCTGCAGGCTGTAAGACTCTAGGACCGCTCGGGCAAGACACACGGCGCTGGCGCAAGCAAGGGACCTTTACATACGACCGCAAAGCCGTGTCTGATAAAGTGGCAGGCTCATGGCAGAGCCGGCCTTCGTGGCAACCTAACACTGCTTGAGCTACAGAAAAAACGATCGGTAATTCGTGCAGTTGCTCTCTTTGCTGACAAGGGGCTGGGACCTGAATTCCAACACCATGTTTGCAAAGGCAGTGTGTTCTTCTCGCTTGAGCCTCTTTACTTCGTCCAATCTGCCATCTTCACGAGCTTGGAGAAACATAGCTCGCAATGCAGAGCGGTCCTGTAAACACTGCAACACCCACACGCTCACACCGATCTATGCATGGGACTGTTCGAAACATTGGAACAAGAAAAGCATTGAACATGATCCAAAGCAAACAACGGTACATTGGCCCGGCCTCACCACAGATACCAGGAAGGTGGGCTTTCACGGCGGCAGCACTCTCGGATTGGGTCAACGTTTTCTTGCAAACCGCACATAGGCCGGAATCTTGCCCGAGTGCTCTGACCATACTCTCGTCATCACTTCGTGAGTGGCCATTATTCTCACGACCGGCCATTGCAAACTTGACGGCTCGGCCGCCACGGCAAAATGCCAGTTACTAGTCACTAGTCCCTGGTGGGGACAACCCAGCACCAATGCAGCTCACTCCAAAATCTGCCAACAGCCAAGGTGGCACGTGACGGCACGTGTGGTCATAGCATCGAACTCAATCACTTGCTAGGACTGTCAAGACAAAGCACAGCTGGCAGCGCTGGCAGCACAACAGGCTAAGAAGGCAACATCGAGGCGGCTTTTAGTTTTTCACTTGCTGCCGCTGCAGGCTCTAAGACTACTACGCACGCAAGACACACCACTCTAGCAATGGACTCAATGAACCTTCACTTCTGCAAGGATACACATGAGAATTGTTCCTACGACCGCGACGTGCATTCCATTCCCGGTGATGGACTTCAACGCCGTGTCTGACAAGTTGGCAGGCACATGACAGAGCACAGGGCTGCTGTCCTTTGGAGCGCTGTTGCTGGGGCGACCCGGCAACGGCACACCCATCACAGAGAAAAGGTCCTGGAAGAAGTTTGGCACAGGCAGGTTTGTTCAAAGTGCGCGACAAAATTTGCACCTCAGCTGCAGTCCTGACCAGTCAAAGGCGCCTTCTGCTGCAACAAAAACAACTCGCTTGTGCGCAGAAGCGTGGGGCAAATGTGCCCGGCGATTGGGTGCGATCCCGGGCGTTGTGCCAAGTTGACAGCCTTCAAAAAAAATAGAATGAAACCAGGCGTCCCGTTCTGCACACACACACACACACGCACACATTAACAAACAGAGACATTGCGCGCAACGATGAATCCAAGGAGCTACTTCTCGCCCTTCTGAGAGCCACTGCTGGACTTTCGGGATAGTGCGGTACTCCTCGAGGCGCCTCTTCTTCGCAGCAGGTAGCAAATCCACGAAGGAGGCGGACGTGTTCTTCATTTGCTTGTCAGAACATTTTTGCTTGTAAGCTTTGGCCTCCGCGCAACCCACAGCTCGCCCTACAACACCCAGCACACTGCGTGTAAAGCTCTCGGCCTCCTCCTCGGTCATCTGCATGAAGCACCGGCAGTCCAAAGATTTTTCTGGAGCTCTCAGCAGATGCAGCAAGACAGTCAGCCTTGCGTTGGTCCATAGCTTTTCACAAAATAAAGGCCTAAACCACGCCGAAGTCACCGAAGTCTGAGGACGATGCCCGTTCGGCAGGGACGCATAGTTTCGGAGCAGCCCCACTGTGTAGCGCCGTGGCCGATGGCATGGCCACCCTGGTTAGCAATACCACTTTTGCAGTTTTGAAGTAATTAGCTACGAGTTTGTTTACACATCATGACGACTCATGACCTTCTCTTGCAACGCTTGCAACTTCCAACCCCTGACTGACGGCCTAGTTGGTGAGGTGACAGTGCCCCGCCGGGCACCGGAAGCTCCCACCACTCGTACTGTGGTAGGTGGGTTCTCAATATCTCCGCATCGAACCGCGGAGTACATTCATGTAGCACCACGGCCTCCACAGGAAAAGCTGACAACATGTGCTAGAAGAAAAGCCTGCAAGCAGCACCGGCCTCTAAGGCCAGGCGCCTTTGCGCAATCCAAAGGGCTAGTGTGCGAGCCGTCTGGCCCGTCAGCCCCCTTTGTCTACCCATAGACGACACATCGTAGCATTCAGTTCCACTCACGTTCATTGACAGCAGCTTCTTGTGCTTCATTCTCAATTTCTTCAGGGAGGTGTGTGGCAGGGGGCATGTCTTGCGAGGATGTTGGTGGCACATACCATGCGTGAGGAAGGCGTGCTCCCTGCTGAGCACGGCCAAATATTTCTCGAGGATCTCATTGCCCAACGCTTCCTGGTTTGCCTTGTCATTGTTTAAGGCAAGCACTTGTTCAGCAGCCCATTTCTCAACGGCGTCAAGGGCTTGAAACGATGTCCGGGAGAGCCGCCCGTTGATGTCATCATGAATATGGACAGGGGGCGAGGCCAATCCTTTCATCATCTCCACACAGGCCGGCGCTTTGTCTGCAGCATGCAAGCTGCATTTGCCACGTCTTGACAACTTCACACCTCAAGGACTGAAGGGGGGCAGGTTCCACACACAAAGCCGGTCGGCACCGTTCATTGTAGGTACCCTAGCCCCAACCCTACCCAGCCTTGGTCCTGGAAGCCTTGAAGTCCCAACTCCAGACTTACTTCAGCAGTACCCATGCCGGAGAACTCGGATGTACATATCAAACTGGCTGCGTTCGCGCGAACACGATCAAACATTGCTTTGGCGTCTGGCGAAACCTCCTGCAGTTTCCAAGCGACCCAACTGGGCCATTGAAACAGTTCCGCCAACGTCGGTGGACCTTCGGGCAGACCGGAGAGGGTCTGCAAGTCGCACATCACTGCATCTGGGGCTGTGTGTGGGTCATCCTCGGTTGACAGGAAAACTAAACCATGCAACCACCATTAACGACCCAACGACTCACCACCACAACGGCGCTAAAATTTATAGTCGGCCGGCAGCAGCGTCATCGTGCTGATCATGGTCTGCATCACCGTGTTCTATCAGCGTCTCCTCAGCCTCAGCTGTTGTGACGCAGCACGCAACTACGGTCGGCTCAGCTTGTGCTGACACAGCAATACTTGACTGGCTTTTCTGCAGTCGTACGAGTCATATGATATCGGCTGTGTCACAACGAGGGCAACTCACACATCACAATCATGAATGTAACTGGACGCCGGCCTGGGTAACTGTGGTACCGGAACTGGAGCTGGAGCTGGTGTAGGAGGTTGTGGAAGTCGCACTCGTTGTTCCAGAGCCACTGCCGGCGTCGACGTTGGGTGGGCCACTTGATTCCTCAAAGGGCGATTTTGGAGCATGTGGCATGTGAACGGAACACATCCCATGACGTTGTGGCCAGCACTTGCCTCACATGGCACTCGTAGCCTCGTAGCTGCACAGCTGAACAAATGCAAACACCAAGTCGCATGTCCGGCACGTCTTCCCGGCCCACCATTGACAGGATCCTGGCAATGGCGCTGGAACTGAGAGGCATGATGCCCAGACTCACGGCGTAAGATGGCTTCACACCTTAACCCTGCTTTAACACAAGTTCTGCCCTTCCGGAACTTCCAGCCTCAGAAGCCACGGATGTCATTGTTCTTGTCACGGCCGAAAGCGCATCCGTGGGAACTCAACAGTACTGTACTGTGTAGCATAGTACGGTATGATACAGTATGGCGACACAACTCAATGACACACTCGGGCAGAAACACTTACAACTTAAAAAGCCACACGTACACCGGTCGCACCTGGGATATGTCATACCCTGCTGGCTGCTTTTGCCCGAAAAAAATGGCCACGACTAGACGTACACGCTTTCCACCCTTGACCCATCGCAACAGGACAAGCAAAACCGTGAATAGCGAGGTTGCCCGGCTGCCCATCTGATCAAATTGCACTTGCCATTTTCACGCATATCACCGCCGCCACAGCATTCCCACCAGCGCCAGGCCTGCAGGCAGAGTTTATTGGCGGGGGCCCGATGATCGCAGGCTAAGCTTGGAAAGCCAACCGGTGTTCAGCCAGAACTTGACTCCTAAAGCTTGGATACACCATAGCAGTCATACACAGGAACTCTCTCAGGTATACTTGCGGGGGCTGTATGCAACCTTATCCAGCAATCAAACAAACGCTCGGGACAAGAAACCACGCAACCCAAAGCCTAAAAGGTGTAAGGTTTAGGGTATTGGGTTTATAGGTCTCCTTCCAAAGGAAGAGCAACTCTCGCCGCTCTTTTGTTTGTTTTTTTTTTCCTCCTGTCTCCTTCCAAAAAGGGGAACGTTTTTCTCCTCAGTTGATTTTCCTCTCCTCCTGTTTCCTTCTAGAGGGGGGAAACTCTCGCGTTTTTTGCTTTGTTCCTTTCCTTCTCTCTCCTTCCAAAGATGGTAAACTCTGGCGTATTTCTTTATGCAAGTTCGCCTCTCCTCTCCTCCTGCCTCCTTCCAAAAGGGGAAACTCTCGTGTGCTTTGTTTTCTTCTCTCCTTCTGTCTCCTTCCAAACTCTCATGTTTCGTTTTTTCTCCTCAGTCGTGTTTCCCTTCCTCCTGTCTCCTTTTGAAGGGGAAACTGTCGCGTTTCCCCCCTTCCCCTTTCCTTCTGTCTCCTTCCAAAGAGGCAAACTCTCGCATTTATCTCATCAGTCACATTTCCTCTCCTCCTGTCTCTTTCCAAAGGGGGAAACTCTCGCGATTTTGTTTTTCTCCCTTTCCTTACGCATCCTTCCAAAGAGGAAAACTCTCGCGTTGGTTTTTCTCCTTAACCGTTTTTCTTCTCATCCTGTCTCCTTCCAAAAGGGAAAACTCTCGCGTTTTTTTTTTCTCACCCTCCTTCTGCCTCCTTCCAAAAAGTTGAAACTCTTGCGTTTTTTTCCTCCTCAGTCGCTTTTCCTCTCCTTCTGTCTCCTTGCAAAGGGGAAAACTCTCGCGGCTCGCGTTTATTCTTTTTCCTTCTGTCTCCTTCCACAAAGGGGAAACTCTCGCATTTTTTTCTCCGTAATCGTTTTTCCTCTCATCCTGTCTCCTTCTACAAGGGAAAACTCTCGCGTTTTTTTTTTCTCCTCCTGATGCCTCCTTCCAAAGAGGGGGAACTCTCGCGTTTTTTTTGCCTCAACTGTTTTCCTCTCATCCTGCCTCCTTCCAAAGGGGGAAACTCTCGCGTTTTTTTTTTTTTTCTCCCCTTCCTTCTGTCTCGCAAAGAGGAGAAACTCTCACATTTGTTTCTCTACTCGCCGCTTTTGCTCTCATCCTGTCTCCTTCCAAAGGGGAAAACTCTCGCGTTTTTTTGTTTGTTGTTTTCTTCTTCTTCTCTCCTTGGCCGCCTTTCCGCTCTTCCTGTCTCCTTCCCGGGGGGGGGGGGGGTTCTCTCGCGTTCAAGGGTGTAGGGTTCAGGGTTTAAGGTTTAAGGTTTTAAGGGCTTAAGGGCTTAAGGGTTTAAGGGTTTACGGGTTTATAAGTGGGTTTTTTGGGTTTAAGTTTAAGGTTTTTAGGGTTTAGGGTGTAGGGTTTAGGCTTCGGCTTAGCTTGGCACTGCCTAAGGCCTGGAGAACTGGCCTTGACCGTCTTGGCTTTGGCCACCAGCATCGTAATCCCATACCTCCATTGGTGTCAGTTGTGTTTGGCGGTTGGCGGGCAAAAAGGTTGTCACTGTAGGTTGTTTGGGCCATATGTGGGAAGTAAGGGCTGGTTCGGCTATGATGGACGTGGTGGTAGGGTGTGGGTAGCTTAGAACCCGAAACCGAGTGACTCTCAACCCAAAAAAAAGTTAGAGACCAAAAAAACAGTTAGAGACCCAAAAAAAAAGTTAGAGACCAAAAAAAAGAGTTAGAGACCAAAAAAAAAGTTAAGTTCAACACCGTGTTGAACCTAACTTTTCGGGCTGTTTTTCTACTGGTTTTTTCAGGCGGCAGAGCTAGACTTCGGCACCGTTTGACCTTTTTTTTTGTTTTTTACAGGATAAAGGAGGTCAAATCGTGTCTAACGACCCTTAGTTCCCACATTTTTCGCTGAAACAGGTCGCTCGACGGCCCAAAAAACCAGTAGAAAAACAGCCCGAAAAGTTAGGTTCAACACGGTGTTGAACTTAACTTTTTTTTTGGTCTCTAACTCTTTTTTTTGGTCTCTAACTTTTTTTTTGGGTCTCTAACTGTTTTTTTTGGTCTCTAACTTTTTTTGGGGTGAGAGTCACTCGGTTTCAGGTTCTTTGTGATTCCAAGCCGCGCAACCCGTTCCGATCCACTATGGGAGATGATTTTGTGGAGTGAACCCACTGGAACCCTGTCAATGGCCCGTCACCGAGCAACAGCCACAAATGAACGCTTCAACAAAGGCCATGGAATGGACCGTGCGCAGCTGCGCAGCACACAGACACAGGCCCTAAACTGGAAACCGTAAACCCTAAACCCTGAACCCTAAACTCTAAACACTAAACACTAAACCCTAACCCCTACTTGGAGGTTCAGGGCCCTTATAACCCCAATTATAACTATAAGCCACCTAAGTCCCCGAAGCCCTCTAGGCAGGTTATAAGTAGACTTGACAATGCCCTTGAGATTATAAGTGCCCACGAACCTCCAAGTAAACCCTAAATCGAAACCGAAAACCTCCCGACATCGAGCCCGCCGGCCCGCCTTGAGGCTTCAAGCCCAGAAGAAAATCCCAGCCTCTGGGAGGAGCATTTCTGTATTGTATTGTATCATCGTCCGTTACATAATACATTATCTAACATATTCTATATGTCATGTTTCTCTCTCTATATATATAGACATATATATATATATAGATATGTATATATGTATATATATATGTATATATATATGTATATATGTATATATGTTAGGGTTTAGGGCTAGGGTTTTTAGGGTTTAGGGTTCAGGGTTTAGGGTTTAGGGTTTAGGCACTAGTTCTGAGGCCCCTCATAGCGTCCAACAGCATTCGAACACGTGGGTACGCGAATTATCCCCCAAATTTGGGCCCCAAAGGCACAAAGGGCCCAAAGGCCCAACGGACCCAGAGTCAGAGACCTTGAAACTTGAAACTTGAAACCCTAAACCCTAAACCCCAAACCCCAAACCCCTAACCTTAAACCCTTAACCCTAAACCCTAAACCCTTAATCCTAAAAAAAAAGACCACCCCTTCCCTAAACCCACTACATACTTCAAGGTTCAGTTCAGGCACTTGTAACCCCAAGTACAACTGCTATGTCTTCTAAGTAGGTTATAAGAGGATTTATTATTGGGGATATAAGTACCCAAGAACCTCCAAGTAAGCACACGACTGCCGACCACCATGCCTCAATTTGTCCAGATGTCGCGACGCCTGACCAAGGGTGGTCAGTGTAGATGTTGGCGTAGGGCTCGCAACTTTTCATGCTCCAGAGTTAACAACGTGCGACCAAAAGACCTAAGCCACCTATAAGGGTCTCAAGGCCCATACACAAGCATTGGGGGCGAATGGTTTGGCAAACGCAGCTGCGCACGGCACGGCATACATTACCTTTGAACATACACTCATGGTGTTCTCCTGGCCTTGGCAACAGAAAGGCCAAGCCATTCTGCCACAGATTGAAGCCTCAACTGCGCGAGAGCGAGAGCGAGAGAAAGATATAAAGAGAAAGGAAGAACGAGAGAAGGAGAGCTCAAGATTAACTCAAGATAAATTCTTGTCTTCAGCTTGTTTGGCAGCCTGCGCAACACATGTCAAGAGAGCTACACCAACATTAAAACAACACAAAACAAAACATCCATCGGGCGAGGGTTGGGGATTTTAGATTTTCTGTTTTAGAGTATGTGATATAATTTATGTTTGGGGTTTTGGGATATTTTGTATGGGATTTGCCTATATTTTCAGGGTATTTATAGATTTTCGGATA